ACCATAATTACTTTATTCAAAAAAGCAAAAAAGCACAACTGTAAAGCTTCTGAAGCTTTACTGTTGTAGGGAGTTGGCCGTGATCAGCTGGAGTTTGTCCGGAGCCACTGCCGTGCGTCGAAGAACCGGACGCCCTGTCGTTCCGAAATTCTTGGCCTTTCAGCTTGCGGTTGACTCGTGTCTTAGTTACGCTGATCCGTTCCGCATACCCCTCCGCACCAGAAATTTCCTCTTCTAAGGCATCATATTCGACAGATAGCTCGATTTCCTTGTCCAGCTCTTTCAGGGAAGCCTCCTTAAGTAGAAGAATATCAAATGTTTCTTCGAGCTCACCGATGTCGGTTGGATCCGTGGCCAGCAGACGCCAGTCTCGTTGATGATCTTTGTTGTGGCGGCTCGCAGGGTAATCCTCTTTCGCTTCAGGCGGTCGACGCCCTCCTCGCTCGTAGTAGGCCTTTCGGCCCCAAAAATCGTAATAATTACTAGCTTCCTTTGTTTCTTTGCTACCAAACCAAGCTCGTCGGAAGTAAGGAAAGCGCACCAACACATCTTTTCGGCTTCGACTCACAAAGAAGACTTCTTTACTTTCTCAAACTTAAACAAGAATGCCGGCGGAAAGGGAAAGAGAAACCCTCGAAGAGGCGAGCCGGCGAGCGCCCCAAGCTGCTCAAGGCCGCCCGGGAAAGTGCTCGGGACGAGGGGGACACTTCTTGAGCACAAAGGAGCCCGCCGCGGGGTCTCCGGCGACCACCAAGACGGGAGGAAACAAGGCACCCCGTCGGGGGACGGAGCGGCACACAAACTAATAGAAAACACGCGCGCGGACCGGGGGGAGAAGTCAACAAAAACACAACTCTGGTGTCACATCAAACTGCGTGGTGTGCACACCAGGCTGCCTGGTCGGCGCATGAGTCCTTGTGATGTGACACCAGACTCCCTTGGTGTACCCATCAGGCTGATGTGCGGGTACACCAGCATTTCTGGTGGGCACACCAGATATTCTGGTGTCACATCAGGATTCTTTGATGTCACACCAGGATTGCCTGGTGTATTTTTCATTAGGGCCTAGATGCACCCGCCGGCAATATGAAGGTGAACACCTTACCTGGTTTCTGGCCTGTTTTACGGCTCCTCCTAAAGCTATATTAACTCTCAACGTCTCAAACGGTACGTGGCTTGGGGGTCTAAACTTTGCGTTCTAGCCCTCTTCTGGAACAGAGCTTGTTCCAAAACTTGCAGGAGCGTCAAAAACAAGAAGAGGGCTGTTCACCTTCATGTCGCTCACGTGTGTACGTCCGTGTGCGCTTGTCTGTGAACTTGATTGTGCGCATTCGTAGGCACGCATGCGTGCATGCATGTGGTGCATATGCAAACACGCGTGCACATGTATATCTGGTGCGTGTATACTTTGCCTGCACTAGTGTTTAGGAGTTGTGCACAGCGCGTGACACTGTTAACGCAATCAAACAATCACCCATTTTGTTGTTGTTTTTTTATATAAAGGTTGCCATTAAACCCACTGATGGAAAATGCTATTTGGCGCCTGAGAACAAACTTTCGAAATTAAATTGACACAGACCTGACACAGAATTTTGAATAAAGGTACGAACACATTTATTGTCTTGAACGGTGGTCATCGCGACGAAAGGTACGCACACACATGTTGAGAGCTATCACCGCCCCGAGGAGCCGGAGAAAAGCAGACACGCGCGACGGGACCGCCACCCGGCGGAAGGAAAGGAAACTAGGCACGCAAGCGCTTGGAACGACGATGAATTGAAAGGGCGGTGCACTTCCCTCCTCCTTCTCCTTCCCGCTAAATTTGGCGGGGAAATTTTTCTGCTAGATTTGGCGGGAAAATATTTCCGTTAAACATAGCGGGGAAAGTATTCCGCTAAATTTGGCGAGGATATTTTTCCGCTAAATTTAGCGCCGAAAATGGGGCTTTGTAGACGCACGAAAAACCCACGGACCCCTAACCAAAAACAGCTTCACTGTATATAAAAAAAAAAACGATTGTTGTTATACATGCGTTTCTAATATGAGTGTGGGCCGGACCCTGCATGTGCCATGTGGTTTGTGCGTGTGTTTATGTGCCTGTCTGTCTGTGGTGCGTGCTGTACGTGCGTGCGGTATGCGGTATCTGGGGTTCTGTATATAAACGTGTACCATTCGTGCACCCTGCTACTGTACACTTATGTGTCCATGCTACGCGTGAGGGAACGTGTGCATGTTTGCTTGCGTAGCCTCTTCCGTATACCTGAAGGCCTCGTTTGGAGCTTTCGCTCTAGGAACCAAAAGTCTACCCGAGAAAGACTGCCGACCACCGCAGTGGAGATTTCGGCGGTTGCACGGTCGAGCGCCCTTGCTCCGACAAATTGCAAACGCGGCGGACGTGAGATCTGTATCAGCGGTCGCCGCTCACGGGCAAGCCAGACAAAGTAAGAGCAAGATGAAGGCTATACGCAACAAAATGAAGTCGCGTGAAACTATCCGCCCCGAACGCGCATCGGGCGAGACCTTTCCTTTCGCTATATTTTGCTCTCCGCGCTTCAGATTTGGTGCGATCAAACTGCGAGACAGAGTGAAGTTATTGCTGGCGATGGCCGCCGCGATATTGAAAAGGTATCCTCCTGGCAATATAACACTCCGGTTATAGTATCACCTCCGGCGTTCTTCGCGAGGCAGTGGTTGGCCCCGCGGTTGCTATGAACGCAGATCGGAATCAAGTAATTCGGTTGAGTTTTATTATGCCGAGTTCGATTGCATCTACAATATGGCAGTACCCTCATTACACTCCAAACTAATAGCGCGGATGTTTCTGTTAATTAAACAAAAACACGCACCATGTAAAAAAAAAAATGATTGACGAAAAATCATATATAACCAGACCCCCCAAATATTCACGCGTATTGATATATAATAAATTATAATTATATATACGCGCGAATTAAAATCACTGAAGCACGCACTCAGTCTTGTGGGAGCATCATGAAACGTGCTGGGTGCATTTGCAATTACCGCCGAAGGTATACCACCAACGCAAAACCGCAAGACAAAAAAAGTGTACCCTCGTAAGCAATAATATATTATGCGTCATTTAACCCGCGGTTCAATATATTTCCCCAAGCAAAAAAAGAAAATATATTAAATCTTGGACGTCTCGGCGACGAAACCAAACTTCAAACAAGCTGAGTACGGATTATACGCAAAAGAATTCCTGGATTTCACTTAAAGTGACGTCTGTCTCGAGACGCGGTGAAGGCATCCAATTTGCTCTGGGCGCATTCGATTGCGGGGCCACTTCCGCATTATTAATCGTTACCCGCGTTAATTAGGCGAAAGAACCGACGCCCGACACTGTCAACATTCGTTTCAATCGAAGGACCGGTGCCTCCGCGCATCGCCGTCTCTTATTAATCGCCGAGGGAGCAACGGCAGCCGCTTTCCGCGTCATCGGTCAATGCTCCGCGATGGGCGGTTTGTCACGCCCCCTTCTGTTTCAATAGTATCCAATCCTCATTGTAAAACCTTCCGCAATAAATGATCGGAATTGATGGAGCTCACCGTCCCAACAACCAATACCCGGGGGGCAAGAAAGAAGCGATTAGCGAATAATGTAAATTGCGCTTATGAATCTCTCGTGAAAGTCTGCGACATGCGCCTTAGACGCCGTCGAGATTGGCCTTTTTTCGACACCTTGTTCACCGCTAAGCTGACAGTATTGGGGGGGGGGGGGGGGGGGGGGGGGGGGGGGGCTGCGTGCTCGCCAGTCCAATCAACCACTTTCCATTCGCCAGCTTAAAAACTCCGCTCTCTGCGCGTTTACACGCATGGGCGGAAACGTGTGGGTTATCACGTGACAAGAGAATGATCCACGACTCGTCCAACGGGCGTGTATAGCTTCCACCGCTCTGTCAGCTCAGGAGTGAACGGAGTAAATGGGAGTTGGCACCGTGAACGACACGTTCAAATGCGACGTTCCGTGAACATCCCGTTGGCGGATACGGGTCGAAAAAGCATGCTCTACTGCGCATGCGCATAACTACAGCACATACCTCGTAGTAAATTCCGGTAAAGGCATAGTTGACACATCTGCGTTCGAGTGTTTTCGAGTGTTCTGCTCGCTTGTATCCAATTGCGACGAGGGAACACAGTTAGACACTGACGTCATCTACCAGATAGCCTCGAAACCTTTTTAATCTGCGTATAAGATTGCCAGATTTAATTCAAACCCACGACAAAAAAAAATTAATAACATATATATTGTGGTTCTCCTTCGGGCCACTGCCTTTGGGAGTACCACGTTCGCGGCGAGACGCTCTACCGCGAAGCGGGTTCGTACTCGCGTGGCATGCTGCTCGTTGAGCGCAAACAGACACCAGTCACGTTGGTAACGGTGATAAACTGTTTATTTACAATGAAACAAAATAACAACAACACAGCGGCTATAAGCTGGTGAACGCCGTCGGTGTGGAGATCGCCCACGGCCGAACGGTCGTTCACAAAGGTACAAAGTACGGGGTAAACGCTCACCGGTGCGCCGGAAGGGTCCCCGTTGTCGCCGCCGCCGAATCCCAGGAAGAAGAGAGAAGCCAGACTGCTGTCCGCTGGTCTTAAGATAACGGCGGGGCGAAGTGGCCAATCAAGGAGCGACACGTCGATCTCCTTTGTGCGGGGGTCCGTTACGGAAATCGCCCCAAGGGGGGAGAGGAGGAAGCCACTCACAGTGGTAAGCAGCGCCACCTCTCGCTACGCCAGCGCGGCCGCCACGGCGCGCCAAAACGCTGACGCGACAGAATGTTGAGGGATCACAATCCCCACACTCCCCCCTCCTTAGCCAATAGTCACCCGCAAACGGGTGGACCAACACAAACACACAACAACTAGACTAAAATAATAAAAAAAAAAAGAAAAAGGCCGCCAGCGGCTACAACTACACGGGAAACAACAGCCCGGCTCATAGGTCCATGGTCCAAATTAGTTCTTCCAACGGTCCCTCACCAGCGGTACAGCTCCCAGCTGCAGTCAATCGGTTGCGTCATCCCGTGACCGCCGCGCACGTGGCGGGTCACCTCCTGAGCGCCCGGGCCGGGGTAGGGCGTCGAGCCCAAAGTGACGATGTCCCACAGCAGCATTCCGAACGCCCAGGCGTCGGACTTGAAGGGGAATGAATAAATGAAGGTAGAAGCACTCCGGAGCCATCCACCGCACTGGTGGTACGTGTACTGGTGGTACACGTCCGTCTCGGAGTCCATAGTGCTCCTGGAGAGGCCGAAGTCGGCGACCTTGTAGCAGCCATGTTCATCGTCGAGCACGTTCCGGGCGGCCAGGTCCCGGTGGATTGTCCCTCGGCTGCGGATGTAGTGCATTGCCTGCGAGACCTGCCGGGCGAACTGTGCCAGGTCCCTGGGGCCCTTGGACTTGTTACGGGACGAACCGGGAACAGCTGGTCCCTGGTCGGCGATCTTTCCGACCGCGGCGCGGGTCCCGAAGATGATGAGCGGCAGTCCCTGGCCGGATGTCGATCCCGACAGCCCAGGAAAACGACTGGTTGCTGGTTTGGCCCGCGGCCGGTTGGGGGCGGGACAGCCTGACGAATCACGCGCAGCTCTGGACCCTGGACACCGCTGAACTGCCGTAGCCAGGAGACAGCAGCTCCCGAAAGACGCGAAGCAAAGGCTGGAGGTCCTCTTCGTAGGTGCGGAACGTACTGCGGTAGAATGACCACTTGGTCTCCGACCGCTTGTGACGACGCTCGCACCGCGCTCTTGTGTTGACATGTGGCACACGTGAGCGTAGGTGGCAATAACTGACCAATGGCAGTTACGCGTACCCTTTCCCTCGGAAGCCGTATTCGGGGGATTCCCCTACGGGTTGATCCGGGAGCGAACGCTGAGGTGACGTATGTAGGTCACTGCTTGCCAGTAAACAATGGTGTCTGGCGCGTTCGCGAAGGCAGCAGGTGTATTGTGCTTTGCACTTCCCTTAATGTGACATTTCGCCACTTAATGGGGCTGCCTCTACGAAAACTTCGGATAATAGTTCCTCCGTCTACGCAGATTGTAGCGAGACGCCTGTTGTTCATCGTCGGCGTTATCTCGCGCTGCGTGTGCATGTTTCTGCGGGGGCTGAGTTTGCTCGTTGGCCCCGTTTTCCCTCTCATGGTAGGGTTTCAGATCGCACACATGTACCGGCCCACCGACTTTTCTTGATTGCAAGTTTGTCAGCTTGTACACGAGTGGGGAGAGAAGTTCCTGCACTCGGTACGGGCCACACCACTTCGGAGCCAAAGCAGCCGAGAAGCCTTTGCTGGCATCACTCAGAACATGGTTGCGTCTGAGGACGAGATCGCCCACTTTGTAGCGGAGATCTCGATGCGAGCGGTCGTACCGAGCTTTTTGTTTCGCTCGCGCTACCCCGAGATTGCGACGCGCCTCCGAGAAGGCTTCCGTCATCCGAGTTTGTAGCTGCCGCGCGTGGTCCGTTTGCGTCGGCTGCGCGTTGTCCACCCCGGCGCTCGTCCCTAGGACACGGTCCATGGGGTTCGGAAGCTCTCTCCCGAATGTGAGGAAAGCGGGGGTGAAGCCCGTCGAACGGTTGAGAGTGGTCCGAAGTGCGAACCCGATCTCGGGGATATATGCGTCCCAGTCACGGTGCCTTTCCGCGAAGGCGGCCAGCATTGGTTTGATGTTTCTGTTACATCGCTCCGTGATGTTCGACTGCGGGTGGTACGGCGTGGTTGTTCTGTGCTTTATGCCAAGGGCCTTGCACGCGTCCACGAATACCTTCCCGACGAAGTAGCTCGCTCGATCAGTCAAAAGAGCTTCGGGGAATCCAAAACGGGTGAAAACCTCCATGAGCTTCTCCGTGATCGCTCGGGCTGTCAGCTTACGGAGTGGAAAAAGTTCCGTCCATTTGCTGAAGTGGTCAGTTACAACCAGCAAATACTGGTGTCCTTTAGGGCTCCTCGGTAGGGGGCCGACCACGTCGCAGGCTGCCAGAGACCATGATTGCTGGCTCGGAATCGGTTGCATTAGGCCCGGGGGTTTGCCGCCTCTTGGTTTGAAGCTTTGGCAAGAGTGGCAGGTGCGGGCATAACGGAAAACGTCCCGTTTCATGCTCGGCCAGGTGGCGATGCGACATAACTTTGAGTAAGTCTTGGAGCCGCTCGCGTGTCCGGCCAAGTGCGAGTCGTGATAGTAGCGCAAAACTGCGTTTCTCAGACTGCGGGGTACCACTACCTTGAACGCCTCGTCGGAGTCGTTCTCGGAGGGTATGTACCTCAGCAAGAGCCCGTCATTGCTCAGCAGATATGAATCCTCCGTGCCCGCACCAATACCAGATACGTCCCGGCACTCGGCGCCTACTACAATACCAGTAGTGTTGCGCCCGGCGGTTGCACCGCCCGCCTCCACGGCGTCCGACTCTTCCGCGAGTCCGTCGATCACCTTTCGACAAAACGGATCATTCTGCTGGGCTTTCAGAAGCTCTTCTTTGCTGAACACGATTCCCACGGCGCTCACTGCGTCTAGGTGGTTGATCGTCTCGTCCGGGGTGGTCAGATCTGCTGCCACCCTTTGGGACTGAGTCACGGCTTCGCCTGGCACTGTGAGTGTCGTTGGCTCGGCCTGGGTCTTTGCGGAAATTTGTGTGCAGTCTACGGGGGCTCGTGACAATGCGTCTGCCACCACGTTTGTGCTGCCTTTCCGGTACCGCACGACGTAGTCGTATTTTTGCAGCATCAAAGCCCATCTTGCCAAGCGACCAGCGGGTTCGCGAAGTCGGGAGAGCCATATTAGGCTTTGGTGATCTGTTTCGATCACGAAAGTGGTCCCGTCGACATAAATGTCGAAACGCCGGAGTGCAAAGACGATGGCCAAGCACTCTTGTTCGCATGTGCTGTAGTTCCTTTCAGCTGGCGTCAACGAGCGGCTGGCGAAGGCCACCGGTCGGAGTACACCTTCGTGCTGTTGGAGCAGGACCGCGCCCAAGCCAAGATTGCTGGCATCTGTTTGGATCAGAAAGGCCTTGTTCAAGTCGGGTAGCTTGAGTTCAGCTGTGTCCGCGAGCGCTCGGGAGGTGCGGCGAAAGGCCGCTTCCTGCTCGGGACCCCAGCTCCAACTCACGGACTTTCGCAATAGGCGTGTCAGTGGTGCTTGAAGCGTCGCGCAGTTTGGGATGAATTGGCGATAGAAGTTCACCATTCCCAGGTAGCGACGGAGGGAGCTCACGTCGGTTGGCGCCGGAAACTCCAGGATTGCCTGTAGTTTGTCGGGATGTGGCGCAAGGCGCCCGCGATCCAGTTCGAACCCGAGCAAGGCGATGCGGGTTTCGGCTATTTGAGCCTTTTCGGGGTTCAGGGTCATTCCCGCGGCTTTTAGCCGGTCGAGTACGTCCTCGAGATGACGTAGGTGATCTTCGAAGGTGTTGGAGTAGACGACAATGTCGTCGAGATAGGCCATTGCGTGTTTCCATTTGGCTTCTCCCAGTACTCGGTCGATCAATCGCTGGAACGTCATTGGCGCTCCGCACAGACCGAAGGGCATTCGTGTGAATTCGAAAAGCCCGCGGTGACAACAGAAGGCTGTTTTTGCCTCGTCACCTGGCTCCATCCGAACCTGGAGGTAGCCTCGGCTAGCGTCCAGGGTGGTGAAGTACCGCGCACTGCCCAAGTTGGACAGAATCGAGTCGATGCTCGGTAGCGGGTAGGCGTCCTTTCGTGTGACGTCGTTGAGACGGCGGTAGTCCACGCAAAGACGTGAGCTGCCGTCTTTCTTCGGGACCAGCACCACGGGGAATGCCCAGGGGCTGTTAGATCGCCGGACGACTCCGGTGTCGATCATTTCGTCCAGGGCACGGTCGATGGCTTTTCGTTTAGCCAAGCTTACGGGTCGCGCGTTCTGCCTTCTTGGCAGTTCGTCGCCCGTGTCAATGCGATGTCGCACTTCGTTTGTGCAGCCCGGTCGGTCCGTGAACATTGCGTCATAGCGGCGCAACAACGACGACAGTCGGGCTTTTTCTCGCCCTGACACGCTGCATGATTGCGTGAGCAGTGGGTGCGTCATTTCCCCGATGGGGGCGGCGCTTGCTGCCATCGGCGCTGGACTCGGTGTCTTGGGGTCAATGACCCGGTTTAGGGAGTCCTTCGCTTCCTCTCGACGGCTCGTCGCGTGCGCCAATGGTGGCGTTGGCGGTACGGCCGGGGGTTCGCAGAAGGGTTTCAGGGGTGCAAACGTGCCCTCCCGATAGCCTGCGCTGCTGACGTCGATTACAATGCCTGTTTTGGCAAGGAAGTCTCTGCCCAAAATAATGGGCACCGATAGGCCAGGGAGATGAACGAAGCGTTGTCGTCTTACTCGGTTCTCCCATCTCGCGACCAGCCGCGCGGTACCAGCCGAAAGGGCGGTTCCGCAGGCTAGGCGAAAGGCAGTGTTGCATTCTCGGAGTCGGACAGAATTCTGTCGGAGGTGAGTCAACACTTCGTCGCCGAACATCGAAGCGCTTGCTCCGGTGTCGAGGAGTGCCTTGAATGGCTTGCCGGCGATCGTCACAGAAATGAACGGGGCCGGCGTGCCGGTCGGGAAGCCTATTCTGTAGGCGGTCGGTAAAAGAGTGGCCATGGGACCCTCTGATTCTTTGTTAGCCACCGGTCCGTCCGTCCAAGGGCCGTTTACCGGTGGCTTTGCTCGTTTCCCGCGCGGCGCGATTCCGTGTTCGGCCGCTCCGGGCACTGGCGAGCGAGATGACCGGGGCGATTGCACCGAAAACATCTTCTGTCGTCGCCTCGCTGGGGGTTCCGCTGTGCGTTTTGGTTTTCGCCGGCTCTGTCGTAGCGTGCATCGGCTCGCTGAGATTGAGGGATCCTCGTTCCCTCCTGCCTCGCTGCCTCGTTGGGGCGCGAGTCGGTGGTTCTGAACTGCGGCGTCGGCCGGCTTGTTCGTCTACCGTAGGAGTACGGGTCGAGCGCACGATCTGAGATTGCGTACGTGTCTCGGCCCCGATCTTCCGCATAGTTTGCGGAATCGTAGCGCCTTGGTGCTCGAGATGGCGTGTCCCCGCTCCACACGCAGCGCGGTTCGAGGGCCGCTGACGCTGGAGGCGGAGGCCGGTACGCACGGGCAGCGAGAATGTCACCCTGAAGGCGCCGGGCCTCGGAAGCGAGCTCGTTCAGGTCGCGGAAACGGCTGCCTCGAAGATACGCAGCGAAAGTCGGATGGCTTTGGCGTATGACGCGTTCCACTCGCTCTGCATTGGGAGCTGAGGGTTCTGCGAGCTCGAAGAGCTCTTGCATGGCTCGTACGAACTCCAGCAGGGACTCGTCCGGATGCTGGGTTCGCTGTTCGAGCTCCCGCCGCATCCTTCTCTCGTA